GGAAATTTCTCCTCAGTTCTAAATTGCTTCTCTCCTTGATTAGTTTACACCCATTGCTTCTTGTTCTACCCTCAGGTGCCTTGGAGAATAGTTTGACTCCCTCTTCTTTGTGGCAACTCCTGAGATATTGGAACACTCTATCATGTCTCTCCTAGTCCTTCTTTCTATTAAACCAAACCTACCCAGTTCCTGCAACCGTTCTTCATATGTTTTAGTCTCCAGTCCCCTAATCATCTTTGTTGCTCTTCTCTGCACTCTATCTAGCGTCTCCACATCTTTTCTACATTGTGGTGACCAAAACTGAATGGAGTATTCCATGCATTCTAAGGTGTGGATAGTTAGACCTGTGATACTAACATACTTACTGTTACAACAGTATATAATTGTGTACATCCACCAAAGGGGCATATCATTTGAGAGAGAAAGTTAAATATAGTTGATTAGAAAATTGTGCAATAAAATTTTATTTCTCTTAAGAAATTTATCTCTCTCAATTTTTTCCAGAATATTCACATTACTAATCCCAGGCTCAAAAGTCTAATAATAATAACAATCAACCTAAACATCTGGCTGACTGTGCAACCAACCATCATAACTGTTATACAACAACCCAGACGTTACAATTGTTGATAAGACAAAAAAGGCAGGGTAGTAACAATAGGAACATTGGATGCAATTTTAAAATATCAGGAGCACCAGTTGAAAACCATCAATAGTGACAAAATCACCATCAGTCAATTACAAAAAGCAGTTTTATATGGAATAGCTTATGTCCTGCGATGATACCTTTAATATAATAAAACAAATGGGAAGACTCAGTAAGAGGACAAAAATGGCAAATACAATCTAAGCATCTCTCTGACTATGTGACTAACTATAATTGTTTTTGTTCCTAATCTCAAATGGAAACCTGCAATGGATTCTCTACATTGGAATATTGACATCTATTTGCACATATAAACATTCCAGAAAACTGAAACTGGAATGTTGCAAGGTAGAAGTTTCAGATCGCAGAAATAAAGAAGGCCTCCAAACAGTTCAGAGAAAAGTCTTCTATATCCACCCAGGACGCTGCCACTTGGTTTTATTCTGGCATTCATCTCTGTCTCTGATGTTACAGAATTAGCCTGAATACAAATATTGTCAAAGGCCTAATCTGTCTATTTTTTCAACTGTATAAAACAGAACCCTGGGTGAAAATAATCTCCTTCTCTTCAGGACAGATAATCTTCGATTTACAACAGTTCTTTTAGTGACTGTTTGAAGTTACAACAGTACTGAAAAAACTGACATGACAGTTTTTCACACTTACAACCTTTGCAACATCCCCATGGTCACAGGATCCAAATCTAGATGCTTGAGAACTGGCTCATATTTGTGATGGCTGCATTGTCCCAGGGTCATGCGATCGGTCCCCTTTTGCAATTTACTGCCAGGCAGTGTCAATGGGGAAGCCAGATTCACTTAACAACTGCAGGCATACCAGGCAAGAAAGGTCATGAAATGGGGGCAAAACTCACTTAACACATGTCTCATTTAGCAATTTCGGAATTCTGGTCGTTAAGTCGAGGACCATCACATAAGGAGCCTAAACAGAACAGGAGATTTTTGCCCATGGCAAAATCTTGCACGCACTAAAAACTCCCGACTGAAGAGCGTGGGGCATCTCCACTTCAAAGCTCAGACACAGCGAGCAGAGCGGGTGTCCCCCCCCCCTTCGACTTGGCCGATCCAAGCACAGAAGATTAAGTGGCCCAACCGCAACTTCGGCTGCTTTCTGACTCTTTCAAATGGCCTGGAGGGAGGCGATGGGGATGTCACCATGGTTTACCGCGTTTCCTTCCCAGAAGCGCCTCCGGAGAGCGCCCAGGTCCGCTTCCCTTCCCTCCCGCTCACCGTCATTCTCGTCCCTGTGCCGCCTGCGCGACATGGCTCGGCCCTCCCTCCGGCTCGGCGGACGACCTTAAGGCGCTCTCGAGGGGGCCGGGGGCAGAAAGGATAAGAGCAGCAACCGACACTCGGGAGCGTTCGCCGGAAGTCGCCGTCGCCGCGCAAACGCCCCCACGAGAAAGGCAGCGAGTGAGCGAGCGAGCCACTGAGCGCGAAGCTCCGCTTCTCTCCGCCCTTGGTTGCTTCCGGCCAGCCGGCAGGTTCTTCCGGTGGCGTGGGGGGGGAGGAACCAACGAGGCGTTCTAGAGTGGGACGAAATACGAAAGAAGCTGTTCCGGGTCAGGTCAAGGCTAAGGGACGGTCTACCACTTGAGAGACTTCCTGAGAAACGCAAACACACAAATTTGTCGGTCATCCAAGTCATGGTTATTCCAAAGGTGCTTTTTCAAGAGGCAACTGGACTTTCTTTGTTTTGCTTTGAAGACATTTCGCTTCTCACCTTGGATGAGAATGGCTTCAAGGAAAATCAAGAAAGTCCAGTTGCCTCTTGAAAAAGCACATTTGGGGGAAACATAAAACAACACACACACACACACACACACCCCTCCCCTTCCGTAATATGCAGTGAATGTTTGCTGTTGTGCTTCTTTAGGGGAAAAGAAACANTACAGATTGACAAATAAACAAATATAAAATAAGATAAATGTTAAGGAAACCACATTTCCCTCTCCTCTCTCTTCTTTTTCTTCTGGGAAGTTTGATCCATCCATCCCACAGCACTAACTCCAGAGGCTAAATTGGTGTGTGTATGTGGGGAAACATGCCATAAGGGTTCTTTCCCTACCACATACATACATAATACACATATAATATATATGTATATGTACATTATACACACACACACACACACACACACACACACACATATATATACATATATATATACATTACATACATAGATACATACACATATATACACATACATATAAATTAATATATACACACACATATATACACACACATATACAACAGGCGCACCCGGCTGGCTGGGGGGGGGGATATATAATATCTTCAGGCAGACACCAACCAACCCCAAGAGGCCAACGCGACCCCCGCCCCCAGCCAGCCGGGTGAGCCTGTTGTTCACGGGAACAGCGGACTTTTCCCACCGGAGGCTGAGGTGAGATGGTGCGGAGGGGGGGACGGGGGACGGGGGAAGGAAGGCGATGCCACCTCACCTTTCGAAAAGCATGCGGATCATGAAGATGCAGAAGGCCAGGGGAAAGGCTAAGTAGAGGTCCTCCACCTGAGGGAAGGTGGCTTCTTCGGTGTTCTTCAGATCCGCCCAAGTGACATTGTGGGGCAGCCAAAACCTCTCGTTCCAGAACCAAGCCAGGATCCCTGCCATCTTTGCTTTGTCTGGCTCAGCTTCTTCCCCCTCCCAACCCCACCTCTCTCTGGATATTATTATTTTTTTGTTGCTTTCCTCCCCGCTTGCCGCCGCCGAAGATGCTCAGCCGCGCGCGGGTGCCCGCCGAGCTCAATGTGCCTTGAATCTGGCCGGTCAGCGCTATGGATGCTATGCTAAACCCCTCCCTGAGCGGCAGCGGCAGCAGCAGCCACCGCCGAGCTGGGCCCCGCCCAGCCTTGCCAGCTTGCCAAGCTTCAAGCCAAGGGGCCGCCCTGCCTGTCACAAGTCCTTCAAGGAGGCGCCCCCTGATTGGCTGCGGGAGTTGTCAACCAGCCGGACGCAGGCGAGTCCTAACGCTCTCCGATGCAGCTGCTTCTGCCCCCCCCCCACTCCTCTCCCCCCGCCCCCATTCGATCGCGGAAGGAACGAAGGGTGGATTCCGGCCGGGCAGGTTGCTTCCTTGGGGTGCTGGAAGTTGTTGTTGTTGTTGTTGTTGTTGTTGTTTAACGTGGGAAGGGGGGGTGTCGAGATCTGATGGAGAGTTTGTGTTGCTTGCAAACGAATCGAACCTTCTAGCTCTCTTTGCAGGAAACAACAACAACGCGTTGCCTTTGGGAATATAGGCATGTGTTGAAGAGGTTGGGTGTGCAAATCACTAGAGTCATGTCACACTGTGGAGAAAATAATAGCACATCAGGAAAAGTCAGGAGCCCATCTGGTTTGAGCAAAATATGGAACATATTTGTTAGGTAAGCTCCCCGTTGGGAGAGCGAGTATGTTCAGAGAAGCGTTGTGAGTGTTGTTGGAGAACACACAAACCAGCGTACAGAGACACTGCAGTTTAAATAGGCTTTTGCTTTCGTGGAAAT